TGAAACCAGATAGGAGAGTCTACCCATTTGACCATTTGGGTAACATACTGTAAACGGTCCTTTGCTCTTCCTGAAATAGTGTGGAGTCGGTGGACAGTTGTTGAGTTGCCAATCCTTGACCCCTTTTTTTCCATTTCACAGCATTATTTGTGCTCCCCAAACCTAAAGTGATCTCCTATCTAGAGCAAGGGGAAGAGCCATGGGTTCAAGGGCCCTTGGAGTTGAAGAATAGTCCTGGAGAGCTGCCTTCAGGTAAACATATACCATGGGAAGAGTACAAATGTGCCTTTGATAGCAAGCTTTACAGACTTAACATTTCAAATTCTGCTTATCTATATTTTGTGAATCAGTAATCATTGGATTTTCTCTCCATTCCTGTAGTTTTGCTTTGCCATACAGTTGGCTGATTGTTATGTTTATTCCCACAGGATTAAAGGTCAAAACTGACAATGAAAACCATCAGCCTGTGTGTCTTTCTGACTTAGAAATACAAGCACCGGAAGACATAGTATCAAAGAAGACCCGAGTGAAAGTTCCCCAGAAAACAACAGGCAAAGAAAATCATGGTGATACACACAGGATGGGGAAATGGCACCGAGATTTTCCCGTGAAGAAAAGAAAGAAACTTTCAACTTGGAAACAAGAGCTGCTAAAACTTATGGATCTTCACAAGAAAGCTCGTGCTGGAGAGAAGCCATTTAAATGCCAGGAATGTGGGAAAAGCTTCAAAGTTAGCTCTGACCTTATTAAGCACCAAAGAATTCACACTGAAGAGAAACCATATAAATGTCAACAGTGTGATAAGAGGTTTAGATGGAGTTCAGATCTTAATAAGCACTTAACAACACACCAAGGAATAAAACCATATAAATGTTCCTGGTGTGGGAAAAGCTTCAGTCAAAATACAAATCTACATACGCACCAAAGAACTCACACTGGAGAGAAGCCCTTTACATGTCAGGAATGTGGGAAAAAATTCAGTCAGAACTCCCACCTTATTAAACATCGGAGAACCCACACAGGTGAGCAGCCATATACTTGTAGCGTATGCAGGAGAAACTTCAGCAGGAGGTCAAGTCTTCTTAGACACCAGAAACTCCACCGCTGAATGGAAGTTTATTCCAGTGTCCTCATTCTGAAGAAATTCACAGAGTAGAGGTTGACCCTGAGATTTATGAAAAAATACAAAATTATGAAGCATAAATAAGTTTTCATCAGAGGAAAATTTGGTGATATAAACATATTTCACAGGAAGGAATCAAGGTTGACTCTGCAGGGATCTCTGTAAGTAGTTTTGTACTACTTACATTTTTACACGTAACCTTTGGGGAATTCCTTAGCAAGAAAGGTGCTGAAAGAACATTCTCAGTAAGGGAAACATTTTTGCAGTTGTACCTGGCAAAATAGCAAATTCAGCTTTAAATGGCAGATGCATACATGAATCAGTCTTCTCTAATCACAGAGGGTAAATACTGTTGGCTTTGCATTGAATTCCCAGCCACTTTTAAACACATTGATAGAAACATTTGTAGCCTGGTCTTCCAAAAGAAAAAGCAATAACCTGCATGTTTAATTGGATACCATTGCCTTTAAGGTAGTAGGCTTACCAATTTCAAGAGCCCTATGACACAAAAATGAGGTCTGTTGTCAAATTTTCCAAGAACCAAATTGGATTTTCTTCCTCTCCCTTGTCATTGGACACTGTTCCCACCGTTGGACATCATTTGAGTTCATTCTTGAACATTTTAGCAACTCTAGCTCTTGAATCCTTTTAGCACCATTTTTACTGTGATGAAATGCTATTTACTTCACCACTAGGGAATCTGCCAGATAAACTAATAATGCACTATCTTATACCTCATTGGTGGTGTTTGAAAAAGATAAACATCTCTAATGAGATCATATGAAAACGGGTTGGGATGTTTAGCCATGGATTATATATTACATGTAATTAATTTTCTGCAATAAAAGAAACTAGTCCTTATAATCTCAGTATGATAAAAGATAAAAGATAGCACTTTCTTGAGGCCTAAAAGAAAATTAATGGAAGTTCAGATGAACTTCTCACATTTTTATATGCTTTTTTGTTTGGCTTTGTTTATTTTTAAGAAAAAGGGCAGAGTTTAGGAACTGGAGTGTGTGCTGCAGGCAGGATGTGGTTCACTGAGTGTGGCAGAAGACTGGGTTCCCAAGAGGAAAGGTTTGGGAACTGATGTTGACTGGTGGACAAGGATGGGTGAATCTGCATTCATGTTGGTTGTCTTACACTGTAAACTATTATTAAGCAGGCAGGGTCTACCTGTCTCTGTTTTGTACGCAGCATTTAACAACAGCCTTAGCTGATAAGTGATATAGATGGCTGAACATCTCTCCGGGCTGTGGATCTTCTTAGAACTCCTACCTACAGCAGTGACATGTGTTCCTGTTAGAGCTTTTAGGTTGTACCAAGAAGGGGGTTAAATGATTTCTCCCAAATACCTTATAAACGATGAAGTTAAGGCTCAGATATGGGACTTGATTCAAGACCCTATTGCTAGTGGGTTCGTTCGCTGCCAGCTAGCTGCATCAGGGAGGTCTGAAGGCAGGGTTAGGAGGATGTGTATGTTATCCCTGCAGGACCAGGCTGGATGACATTGTGTTGTATTTACTTCTAACTTATAAAACATTCTTGTGGCTTGATTGGTTCCCAGAACACTTGGGTTTCCATGTGTTCTGTGAAAGAAAACTGTTTCAACTCAGGGTTATTCTAGGGACTAGGGGGATTGATGAATGAAAAGCACTTCACAGCCTGGCCAGTGGTAGATGCTCAATCAATGTGCATTTGCTTCCCTTTCCCCTGTTCCCCAGTGATGTGCTGGGCAGACTGACTCCAGTAAGGAAGCAATTGTGTTTATGGCTATTTTCAGCTCCTTTCAGGAGTTGTGCACTGCTGGTGGTGATGTTGCTCAGTTGATTTGATCCTTGGCCTCAGTACTTTATGGTGTAAGTCACCTGAGCTGTGGGTATGGTGCTCTCAGCAGGATTTTGTTTTCTTCCCCAAGATGAACAATACCAAGTATTATTTCTTAGGCACAGCCAACTTTAAAGCTTTCGTCTGCATAGCTTTTATCCATCACCCTCATCCTTAGGCTTCAGGTACTCTGTCTCATCCCCGGATACATGTGGACATCTTCCTGGTGCTACATTCATTCAGTTTCATGGGGGCCTCTTATGTGCCCAGGCACTGTTTGGTGTAGACTGAGAATATAGTAGTGAACAAAAGAGCTAAAGATAGATCCTCACAGGACTTATACTCTACTGAAGAGTATAAAGAAGACTGGTTATAGTTTTCTGCTCCTTGCAGTTTAGGGTCATGAGATAGTTGAAGGTAACAGGTTGTGAGCAGAAGCCCCACTTCTGCGCTGAAGACTGTTTGTGCAAAACTCTGGGGTGTCCTTCCTGCCTCAGTCATGGAAGTCCAGCAGAAACTGGGGCCACAAGGTCAAAGTAGTCTGGAATGCTGAGCCCCCCCCACACACACATGGAGAGCAGTTGTCCTGGAAAGTCCCCCAGACCTGTGATGGACTTTATGGGAATGAGAAATAAACTTCTGTTAAACTTTTGAGATATTGGTGTCATGTGTTTCTGCAGCATAACCTGGCCTGTCTACATAGACACAGCTATTCTACTAGAGCTCTGGAACCCTTTCTGTGTCAGTCCACGTGGACTTTGGCCCTCAGAAGAGATCTGCCTTCCTGTAGATGCTCCACTGAGCTCATGTAACACTGATAGGCACACTGAGGAGCTTACAAGACTAGGTGATAGGAAAGAAGGACAGATTTTTTTTACCTGAGACAAGTCTGGGTTGGTTAGTTTTTCAAGGGGACAAAGCAACCGTCCCTCCCTCTCTGGCTTCATTCCCCTTGCTCTCCTTTCCTCTGTGCTCCACTGCTTTTATACATAAAGATGTGTTTCTGTTGATCAGTGGGCTACAGAGAGGGTAGGGGTTACCTTTTTTCCTCCTGTGAGTGCAGTAGACTTTAAGCATTCATTGGGTAACTACCTCTCTCATACCTTCTGCAAGTTGGCCTCAGAAACAGGACATAGGGCAGAAGCAGATTTGTCCTGATCAGTGTAGAGAGGAAGGGGACTGCCCTCTTGGACTAAGAGGTGGTAGTTGGGAGGAAGGTCATGCAGGAAAGCAGGAGCAGGACATTGCAGTTGAGTGAGAAGCCTCTGTTGGGAATGTCTGCATAGCCAAGAACCAGCAGTACAATGTTCCACAACTCATGCTTGGAAATTTGGGGGTGGACATGTGGACATTGGAAAAAGGAATTTCTGTACCCTGTCAAAGGGGTGAGAGCAGACTACCAAAAATGCAACATAAAATCAAAATCTATTTAGGCTTGGTTTCTTTTTTGTTAAAGATATTATTTCAGAGAGAGTGCAAGAGTGCAAGCATGAGTGGGGGAAGGAGCTGAGGGAGAAGCAGACTCCCCGCTGAGCAGGGAGCAGGGAGCCCGATGTGGGGTCGGATCCCAGGACCCTAGGATCGTGACCTGAGCCGAAGGTAGACATTTAACCTACTGAGCCACTCAGGCGCCCCTATTTAGGCTTGGTTTAGAGGTGACGTGCAACACACAACCTTAAGTTTAGCCTGAAACGTTCGTATTAAAGTTCTCAGAAATGTCTTTTATAACCAAATGATTCTAGGACAAACCAGAAGGTGCTTCATTTCAGGTGGTTCAGAGAACAGTCTTACAGTGGCTCCAAGCTTGGTTCCAAGAACTGAAACAGTGACCAGTGTAACCCTGAAATCCTCTCTGCAGTGTGCTAAGTGGCCACAGTGTGGGGACTGTGCCAGACCCAGAGTTCTCCCCACGCTTAAGCAGACTGTGTCTGGAACCTCAAGCTGATCTTGAGAACCTCCACTGTCTTAGCTGGAGGGGAAGCACAGGAGGAGAGCTTGGAATCAAACTAAAAGTGCTAGGGTTGATCAACTTTTGGAACCATGAGAAGAGTGTCTAATTCCCCTGGAGAGCTTGAGAGCAGAAATGCTAAGCAGCCTTTTCGATCCAGCTGGACAGTTGGGATAACACAGAAGGTTTGAATTCCTTAAAGGATTTTCTAAACATTCATTGGAGTCACTCCACAGACAGGAGTTTACTGACCACCCTCTGCATTTCCTGGCCAGTCGCACTCGATGCAATGGGTCAAGGCTGCCTGTTACTTTCCTCTCTGGGTTTTACCTTCTGTTGCTTAGAGTGGATTCTTTGCTGAAGGGCTCACGTTGCTTCTGTGGGTTCTCACCTGAACGGAGTCTCTGGAGTGCTCTCAAGTAGGCAGGTTGAGCCTTTGTTCACACTTTGTGTTTCCAGGGTTGTTTGCAAAACGTATTTGGACAAAAGTGTATTGTTGTTACTAAATCTTGTCCACGCTTGTCACCTTTATCATTTCTTTCTTGTGTGGGTTTAGTGGGGAGCAAGGCTGGAGTACTCTTGAAGCGTCTGCCGTGTGGCTTATGTGCAGCTTTTCCTTCATGTGTGAATTCCCCAGTGGGCAGTGGTACCAGGCTATTGTGAAATGTTTTCTGCAGTGCAACGTTTTTGAGGCTTTTCCCCTGTGACCCACCCGACCCACCACATCTGAGAACGCCTGCACTTCACTTTAAAGCAGTCACCCCATCTCTCATGAGAGGGATCAAGCATGCTGAGTTTCAGATTTAGCAAAACTGTCAGAGTCGCTTCTCACTTCCATCACAGCAGGATGATGACTTTGGAGTTGCACTGATCTTGACACTAACACAAAAGTTAGTGGGTGGCTCAGTTGGTTATGCCTCTGACTCTTGATTTTGGCTCAGATCAAGATCCCGGGGTTGTGAGATAGATCCCTGGGTCAGGCTCCACATTGGGCATGGAGCCTGCTTAAGATTCTTTCTCTCTCCCTCAGCCCCTACCCCCTTCCTGTAAAAAAATCAAAACAACATTAAGCTTTATAGTATTTGGATACTCTGCACCTTTAAGTGAAAACTTAAGAATGCTTACTTTTGAATTTTTTAAACCAATGGATGGATTTCCAAAATCATAATTTTCACACTAAGAATTTGTCCATTTTGTGTATAAACAACTG